TACTATTATTATTACTAAGTCCAGAGTGTTCACTACTTATGACCTTAAGATGCAGTTGTTACTGTTTCAATACAATAGCAGAAGTTTTGCCACAGAAGTGAAGACACACCTCCATGAATACCAAGTCTTATCAGGACCGAGGAATTTGTGTTGATCAGATACTTGATTCACATGTTGGAACAAACCAACCCACAACACACACACACACACACACAACACCCACACACACATGAACACAACATTATTATGCCGATGGTGGCGTGTATAAAGGAAGCTCTTAGTGTTGGTAACAGTTAAGAATGGAGGATTGAGTTTGTATGTTTAGATCAACAGGGACTGAAGAACATGTGGATGCACAGAATGGACATTACTGACGTTCACAACTGTAAACGGACAGAGTCCACATGTTTCATTTCATTTCAGCCATGAGAACAAGTTGACAAAGTGTCCTGCTGACCTGGAATTGCACATATTTCACTTTTCTTTGTTTCTGTTTCCTGTCTCATTATTTCTCTGTTCTCTACAGAACAACGTGTTAATCTGTCAGTCTGTCTTCACTTTAAAGAGGTCCTGTCAAAGAGCAGGTTTCAAAATGCTGCAGTGGGTGGAGCCAGGCTCAGACCCGGGGGTGGTCAAGTCTGGAGGCGTGTCATGGGAAGAGTCAGCAGCAGAGACTGACAGGATATAAATAATCTGAGAACATCACAGGTCATCACACTGGAAGCTCCGGTTGGATGTCAAGAAGACTCTCGCACAACTGATCTGATCTACACAACTTCACCAGGTGAGGACAGACTGGGTGCACCGTCTTTTTTAGTCTTTTTGTTGAGTGAAGGAGTAGAGTTTACTCCCAGTGTTAAACTCTCAACACTCAATATACTTAACCGTGTAAATGAAGTACTGAAAGCTGTGCGCTCACTGTTCTCATCAGGTTGGAGAAATGGCCTCAGATCTGAACAACGTTGCTGCCCTGGGTCGACCTTTCACCCTAGGAACACTCTATGATGCTCGGAAAGAAATACTGATCCCAGGTAAGTCTTAGATTACATTATTATTAAAATATTTCTCTACATATCTGCCTTTCACAGCTTTGCTTAAAGCTGAGTGTCAAACTCAAGGCCCGCCACGTCATTGTAAGTGGCCCGCGAATCCGCCAGCAAAAAAAATAAAAAAGATGAAAAGTTAGACTTGACAATAAAAATATCCCTAGTAAAAGTCATAATTATGACTTTCTATTTCATAATTTCGACTAAGTCACAGTGTTTTCTGAACAGCAACTGGAAACAGATGGATGCACCAAAACTGCCATGGGGATATTTTTATTATCAAGTCTAACTTTTCATCTTTTTTTGTTCTTTTCTTTTGCTGCCGGAAATGGTCTTTCATACAAAAGCCATATGATTGTCTTAAAATTAAAGTCTATGCTGCTTTACAGTGTACGTACAGTGACCATAAGCTACATACAACAATGCGTCTCTGATTGTGTGACCTGTGAAATGACGGCATCCTGCCGCTAGACAGCAGTTTTTCCATATCGGCGTTTAACTTTATCAGTTAAATTTTATTTCACACTGTGATGGTGAAGGCACACTGTGTTATTAATCCGTGGTTCACATGTGTGCCGAACCGTGAGGGGGGATCCGTACGGATCACAGATCGACAATGATCCGTTACATCACTATTATTCACTCACGACAACATGTTGTCTGTGTGCTGACATTAAAACTATCACAACAGGTGGACAGGAGAGGCAACAGCCCATAAAGCGCTTTTCCAACAAGTGATTGAGTTGAAAAAGATCAACAAATAATCCCAGAAGCAAAAAATGTATGCAGAGGGAAGAATATTTAATGAAAGATGGGAAAGCGAATACATGTGTGTGCTTCAAGGAGAAAAAGCGCTCTGTCTTCTGTGTTATGATGCTTGTCGGTGATGAAGGAATACAATTTACGTCGGTATTTTGACACCAAACACGGAGCCAAGTATGCTAAATTTAGCCTCCAAGAAAAACATCAAATTGTCCAAGAATTAAAAGGCAGACTGCAATCGCAGCAGAATATATTTACAAAAGTTAAGGCCCAGTGCATGCTAAAGGTGAACAGGTGAGCTCCGACCAGATACAGACTTTTACAAATGTCAGTTTGTGAAGAAACACCATCGCAGACCGAGTTCAGGAACTAGCAGCAATCTAACAACACAGCTAGCTCAGAGACGAGCAGGCACTTGTCTTCTTCATTATCTGTTGATGAAAGCACAGACAACACGGACACAGAGCATCTATCCGTGTTTATAAGACCTGATCTCAGTGAGGAGCTCTTGGATGTAGCTGCCATGCACGGGACGACGGCGGGGACATTAGTGATGCAGAGAGGCGACACAAATAGCTTTGAACAAAGTCAATGTCATAACTTGTGTTTGATGATATTTGTCTTTGTTATTTTCTTTAAAAGTTTGATCTTTGATAGAGTAATGTGGGTTTCTTAACCCTAAATTAAAAGGATTTATGCTATAATAATGTGCATAAATATAATTTTACATTTATATAACTGCATGTACAATATATATACACTTCAATAATCAAATGCAGAGACAGTTATTTAACAATATGTTAGGGAGTAGTTACAGTTATACAGTCTTACATTTACAACCGGCCCTTTGAGGGCGACCGTGATGCTGATGTGGGCCAGAGTGAAAATGAGTTTGACACCCCTGAGTTAAAGGGACTTTGAAATCATTTCACTATTCAGTCCTCACCTTTTTAACATCCATACACACCATTCAAATAATAAGCAAATGCTTTTTAATTCCATAACGTAGTTGTGAATATTCATTAGTTATACATTTTAGGGAAGCATGCTGTATTAGTAGCTGATATATTATCATGTGACAAAGAAGACAATTGAATTGTTGTTATTCTTGTAAAAGTTGTTTCTTACTTGCTCTTTTGGAATCAAACAGTTAGTTAGCTTTGATTATGGACCGCAACATTATCTTATGATTAATTAGCAAACTATATAAAAACTTGTCAAACTTTAATACTAGTAAACGCAATCAAGATCACAACTTACTTGTTTTGTGTAGTCGCTTCTTCCTCTTCATTCTGTTTGTGAAATTGATTAAATAAATTCAATTTCACAAAATGATCCTCCTACTTTATGTTTTCCAATTTCCAAAGGTTTGACATTGTGGGACAATAAAACTCTACAAGGGAAGATAATTAAAAGTGTTCAATCCTACAGTCATTTTGAAATGACTGAATCTGACACCATTGAATCCAAGTCCTCTCTGCTGGATGTTGAAGCTTCTCTGAAGGCCAGTTTCCTCAGTGGACTGATCGAGGTTGAAGGATCTGCCAAGTATCTGAATGATCAGAAGAAATTCAAGAATCAGAGCAGAGTGACGTGTCAGTACAAATCCACCACCCACTACAAACAGTTGTCAATGATTGACCTGCTGACTTTAGACGCCCACCAAATGGAAGTTATTAAGAAGAGCTCGGCAACACATGTAGTCACGGGCATCCTTTATGGGGCAAACTCTTTCTTTGTGTTTGACAGTGAGAAGTTAGACGCCAGCAGCGTTCAAGACATCCAGGGCAACATGAGAGCTGTGATAAACAAGATCCCCACATTTAGTCTTGAGGCGCAAGCTAGCATCAAGCTGACTGATGAAGAAAAAGACCTGACTAATAAATGCTCCTGCAAATTCTTTGGAGACTTCATCCTTAAGAGCATCCCTGTAACATTTGAAGAGGCAGTGAAGACCTGTGGACAACTTCCACAGCTACTGGGAGAGAAAGGAGAGAATGCTGTCCCAGTGAAGGTCTGGCTGATGCCACTGAAGAATTTGATTCCTGAAGCTGCTGAGCTGATGAGTGAGATCAGCGTTGGACTGGTGGGGAAGATGCAGGATGCTCTTGAAGATTTGAGGGAAATACGAATGAGATGCAACGATTCTCTGGAAAACGGAGTGGTAGAGAACTTTCCATATATTCATGAAGAGTTCAAAACTTTCCAAAAATTGTGTCACCTCTATGCATCTGACCTCCAGCAGAAGATGGCGAAGAAACTCCCCTCCATCCGTGAAGGTAAAGAAGATGAGAGCTCATTAGAAGAAATCTTTGAAGACAGAGAGAAGTCACCATTCAGTCAAGAGAAACTAAGCAAGTGGCTGGATGACAAAGAGAGAGAAATCAACATCATCAGATCCTGTGTAGATATCATGGAGGGAGTAAAGATCGTCCGAAATCAGTCCGAGCTGGACAGAGAGGTTCTTGATCGAGATGTAGATCATGCTCTGTGCTTTGTTTTCACCTCTATGATAAGGGGTGATACCGACCTTGATGTGATGGCCACCTACTTGGA